TAATCTTACCATTCCTTCTACCTTTGTTCTGTGTCTCCATAGCAAGAGAAAAACTTTGGACACCTAATGTTCTACCACAGGTAGCTTAAGAATCATACTGTGGTTTGTAGTCACTGCTTGCTGCTGGTCATGCTAGCTTTAACACTTGCAAGAATTTGAGTTATTCCTATGCTTTCATAAGAAAATATAAACAGAAATTCCCTTACTGCAAATCACTTTGCTCCAACATGGCATATCACACCACAGAAGCTATTTCCTGTAGGACAGCTAGAAAAGCCTATGGAGAAATTCTAAGCTGGCTTCCAAGACACTCGAAGAACAACTGTCTCAATTCTACCATTTAACTGAAACTTAACTGAACAGTCCATCTTGCATAATCAAAATTACCATACTAAACTGCCTTACAATACCACCTTCAAGACAGTAACATTTCCCATATTGTCACAGAACTCTGTCAGTACACAGGCTTTTAGAAGTTTAAGATATCGTATACCATGCTTAGAGTTGCTACATATTATATAGTACTAAGCACAAGAACCTTAATGAATATGAATGATTCAGCATCCCACTGGTACCACTGGTAAGACAAAGGAAATTGCTTCACATCAGCAAGACCAATAACCATATGTTATTTGATAGCATTTCATAATAAATAGAAGAATTCCAAAAGGAAAACCATGCTGACAACCAGAGTCTGTATTCAGAGGTCTGAAGCCTGGAGATGTACCAAAAAGAAACAAGTTTAACACGTTCAGCACTTATTTGGATACCTAGCTGTAGAGCTCCAAGTACAGCAAGTCACTCCCAACTGAAAGTTCATAACTAATCCAGCTGTTCCAGAAGAGTCACAAGCAAGGACACCCACACAAGATTTCCCAGAGCAGGGTGGTTTCTAGGAGGAAACATACAGCACACGTTCAGTTCCGTTTCTTGCTTCTACTGCCTCTAAGACAGTGTTCAAAGCCTTTCAACTTGAGCAGGCCATCTACTTTCCCCTCCCCAAACTTTATCTGCTAGTCTTGCATGTTTCCAGCCAACATCATCTTTAAGTAATTTCTTACATGAGATTTACGCCTAAATGTGTCTGAGCAGGTAGCATTCCTAATTCAGCCACAAGTCTTTCAAATCTTTGTTAAAGCAGTGCTTCAATTTTAATAATCACTTTTACAAAGAAATTCTATTACACTGAAGTTAATGTAGAATCTCAGTCAAAGCTTTAAAAACAGATTTGGCCACCAGCTGTCATCAGTGACATTCTTCAGGAGAAGCCAAGCTCAAGCGGCCATCTATGCCTTTTACCAGCCCTGCCCTTCAGTGAGTTGCACGTTCATACAGGCTGATGTGACTGACAGTGATAACCAATGTGATCATAAAGCAGCAGCTAACACTCCTCAGTTACTGGTCTTATTAGATCAGATCAAAACTTTTGATGATATAGAAAGTCCTTAACGTGTTTTCAGTGATATTTGAAGATATTGATAGTTTCATTAATACGCTATATTCACCTCCTCCATTACATTGTGGTCATTGTAGTATACTCACTAAAACAGCATGCTTGTCAAGTAGGAATCTCTAGTGCATTGAAATAGACTTTAAAAGCACTCATTGCCTCCTTTGTTTTGTATCTCTTTACCACAATGACCCATTCCTACCTCCTATTTATTTCACCAGTTATTTATGTCCTCTGATGAAAGGGGTTAACCTGGCTCTAGCACTTTCAGCAGTTATGCAGGAAGAGAGATCTATCATAACTCCATATGTCAAGATAAAAAACAAGAGTAATGCCTAAGGGCAGCTAATGTTTAGAAGTTTTGCTCCTGTGTGAACATGCATGTAATCTGTTCAGCTGCTTTCAGAGTACCTCATGCTGCAACCAAGATAATTTGATGCTGACTGATAGGTCTTACTCCCGAGCTTTTCCACCTCCATTATTCAAGAAACTACAATCTGTGCCTAACAACAAATGCCTGATTACTTCTGAACCATATAAATGTAGGCATAACAGCACCCTTCTTCACCCTTCGTTATTTCACCCCCCACTTTGATTCTGCTGCAGGGGTTTGCATTACTTTGTACATTATAACAGAAAGGCTTTTTTCACCAGAAAAACAGCATAGAGAGTGTAATATTGACATGCTCTATTCAATAGAATTATCTAATCATTAAAAAGAAAAAAACCTCAGTTAGCTCAAGAAATTGAAGTCACTAAGAAACCTGCTGCATTGCAATACACAGCATTCATCATTTTGGCTACAATCACACCAGAAGCCAGCGCAGTATCTGCATTATAATCTTTAGCTAACGACTGAACTACATGCTTAGTTCTTATCATTGATTAGAATTAGACTGTAGCACCCAGCTCTTTGAGGAAAGTTTTTTATGATGAACTGTTAAGTGCAGGCTTTGATCTAGTGAAAAATAACATGCTTTTATGTTTAAGGGTAAGACTTTAATTCAGAAGCCTTTTTAAATGCATCAAAATCAATTCAGAATGCCAGCACCATATTGCTTACAGGGAAGTCACATGTAATGTTACTTACCATAAGATTTAGATCTCTTGAAGAGATCTAAAGCTGTTTGTCTGCACATACCAGCAGACAAAATTATCTACATAAGCCGGAAGACAGTTGGGCTGATGAGTTAAAAGGGAATGACTATCACATGCTCCGATACTCTGCCACACACTTTAATAAAGTGCTTTAGGGAATATGCGCTATGACTACATAGACGCCATCTTCAATCTGCTTCTCCAACTTATAATTTCTATTTAAACCTGTTCACATTCATAGACAGCTGCAGAACACATTCCCAGGTTGAAGACTTTAGAAGTTTTAAGATCATGAAACAACCCTTATGGATACTAAAATCCCTTTTATTTTAATGATTAATGCTTAACCAAGATGTCAAGTTCTATAGGAGTCTGAACTGTTACTCTTACAGACACTAAACAAAGCCCAATCAAAAAAACACTAAGATTAATTCTGATCTTGGTCTTGTTTTTCAACTTGGGAAGGACCCCCATCCCCTTGGAAACAGAATAGCCTGTCAATCAACCTATCAAAACCAATCAGATTTGACATGAGAGTTCGAAGTGCAAATTGCAAAATAGTTGTATTTTCCTTTTCAGTTTTTGCTAGGGAAAGGCTAGTCAGGAGTTACATGGAAAAGTACACACCACACTGTAAAACAGGAAAAATACTTCAGTGATAGGAAAAATTCTATTCTTCAGTCCATCAGCAACATTAGCACAAGCCTCCAGAGATTTGTCAGCAGCTCTTTACTCAGTTCTCACCCAGGAGTATCCAAGATAAACTAAGGACAATAATCAAGAGTGAATAATACTGCCTTTTAGATCTTGAAATTAAGCCATGAAGCTATTGATAGGACTTCCCATAATGCAAACAGGTTCTGTCCAAACTTTTCTCCAAGTTACAGCTAAGTTTCTGCCCAACCTGTTGAAACAGATTGCTTCGGCAAACCACACAGTCTATCCAGTCTCAGAAACCAAGGGCTGAGAAGTTAAATACAAGTGTGGCAGCCTGACAAACCAAAGGTCTCCCCTCTTTAGTTTTTGGAATCCCAAACTTGCTAAAAAACCATCCAGAGTGTTGTAGCAGCTTGCACAAATACTGCCAATTGATTTAAAGAAAGTTAAAATTGATCCATAAAAGGGACACATCAGAAGCTGGCCAACATTCTACTTGCTCTCCAAGACAGCAATTAGAAAATATTTTAGTTTGCCCTACACGCCAGCAGCAGAAAGATCTATGCTGTGTTTCAGTGTATGTCAATAAGAAGCAGAGTTTTTTCAGTTTGAGGAATCATATTTGAAGTGTTTTAAGACAACCTTTAGAGCTGAAAGACCAAAAACTGACTTACAGCTCGTTTGGCACAGGGTTACAGCAACCACATGTTATGCTTCCTCTTTTCTGAGCTTCCACTTGATAAAGCAGAGAGTTCACGGAAACAGTAACTACCACTTGTTATCCTAGCATCTTCCAGTAGCCTAAGTTTAAATACCAGCATTTGAAATAAAGTCTATTTTTTCATATCCAAGGAGACATTCTGTATATGGTGAAGAGGGATGAAGAGAGCTGCACGTTAGTATCTGGTCTACAGCCAAAACTAGAAATGCAATACCAACTTCAGATGATTGAACAGTTGAAGACAGACTTCTCCTAAGACCACAGCAAAATAGAGTTTCTTCTGTGGCAATTAACATCACAGCATAAGCAAAATTATCCATTATAAGTATACAGCTGCAGTCTTTAAGACAGAGGTATTAAAGAACAGTTTTGAATTATATATAGAAAAGGAATGACGTGTAGTTTGGACAAGTGAACAGGGCTTTTCTGCTTCCATATGTTCAAGGTATCTTTTTGATACACAAATCCCTGATTTGAATGTAGAACTAAGCATAACACAAGCCCCATTCCCTTCCACATTGCAGAGACAACTTACTTTTAAGTGGTGACTCCAAACCGAAGTTTAGAGCATACTTCCTTTGAGGACAATTTTAGCTATTTGGATTACTTTTAACTAGTAAAGTGTGCTTACTAAACACAACCCACTTGGAAGAGACATTTCCTCTAGAAGCATTACAGAGCCATAACCACAAATGAATTTAAGCAGCAGTCATAACCAAGGCCCCAAGATCCTAGGCAAGGTCACCCTGGAGCAGTAGGAGCAGGAACCCTATGGCAGTCAGTGAGCAAAGCAGTACAACTTTTTGAGGACTGCTTGCATAAAAACCCCAGGCCAATCCAAGAGCTCCACAACATCAGCAAACAGGAGCACAAATAGCCCGTAAAAAGTAAAAAACTTCACTGCCACATCAAGATCTGCCTCTATGCTGGCCTCACGTGTAACAAGAAGAGGAGGAAAAACAAGAAGACAGACTTTACAGTTGAAATACACTTTCCCCCGCAGACAGCTGGGTTCACAGGGCTCTGCCTTCTCGAGGTTCGCCCCGAAGAGCCCCACCCGTCCCCAGCCCTCACCTGCGATATCCCAGAGCTGCAGCCGCACCAAGGTCTTGCTGTCCCAGTTGATGACTTTGAGCGCGAAATCCACCCCGATGGTGGCCCGGTAGTGTTGGGAGAAGAGCTGGTGCACGTACCGCTTGATAATGCTGGTTTTACCCACGCCCAGCTCCCCGATCACCAGCACTTTGAAGAGATGCTCCCGGC